TGCACTACAAGTATGGCACTGTCTCCTGTATAACTCTCAGATAACCGGAATTTTTAGATTACTGGCAACCCCTATACCCCACTCATGCGGGATATCAAAGCTGTTACTGTACTTGGAAAGCCCAGAGGTTCCTGAATCGAGGGGCTTACTTTTCCATTAGGGAGCATGTCAATTGCCAGATCTAGGGTCAAGAAGGAATTTTTCCCTTGGGTCAGAATGGCATATGGTGCAAGAATTTTTTCCTTCCACAGGGGCATAGGCCTCTTCCTAGGGCCTTCTGAGCATGAAGAAACTAATTACAGCCCTGTCATTGCAGTGCCTGGGATTTGGCAATGTCCTTGCCTCTCCTGTTTTTACCTATGCTGTCATAAGGTGGTGTTGGTGTTCCAAGTAATGTGCGTGGAGGTTACTAAGAGTTTTAAGTGGGGATTTTGGAGTTTCCTTGATTGCTAATGATTCCTAATGATTAGCTTCTGAATTCAGTGGACTAGCTTTCATGACCCAGGAGGCCCTTCCCACTCCTATTTGCCTGTGGAAACTTCCTGTTTTTCACCAAATCATCATCCCTTTCCTTTTTCTGGGTGCTGTAGCATTTAGCTATGGTACTGTGAAGTTTCCCACTTTGTCGATGATTTGAATTGATAGACTTGAAGCAGCTCCTAGGATAGCTTTATAAGTAAAAGTGAGGCACTGAAGCAGTCCGGCCCTTTCAGAGGTCCTGGCCCAGAAACTCTTCCTCATGGGTGCTCCCTCATAAACCTGGATGTATTCTGCTGACCTGCAGTCTTCATGACTGGGGCAGTGGCTGCTGGAATGCAGTGCAAGCTGGATGTAGCCATAGACGTCCCAAGTGGTTGGCTACAAACACATGCATGTGTGACTCCCTTGTAGATTTTCTTTCCTCGTTTGTTGCATAAATAGCCGTACCAAGTCAGTTGTCAGAGCCCTTCAGTGTTACTTTCTTCATGCAGTCTCGCATACAAGTTCATAATTCTGGCTCAGCGTAGCATTCAAGGCCAAGATTGCATATCTGTCCTGTTTATGGACTGTATTATAGCAGCAGGTTGCAGCTGTAGTGGTAGGAAATGCCAGGGAGTCCAGGGTGTGAGTTGTCACCAAAGTCCCTCCTGCAGTAACTTTGTCAGCACCTCCCACTTAGCCAAATGCCCAGCAGGTCTTTTTCCTGGTACTGGGGACTCCCCATGAATGAATGGACATTTGCCCACTGCAAGGCATGCTGAGATGAGTGCTGTTACTGCCTGCTTGTCAGCAGAGAAGCAGCATTGCAGTCAGCCTTTCAGCCTCGATTTGGAAGGATAGTGTGTACATGATAATCCAGTGACTTTTAGGATCTGGGACAAATAGAGGCACAACTTGTCCCAGGACAAATATGAAACCTGTTTATAGTCTAAGTTACTAAGTTGCCTAGTGAGAATTTCAGTTTGATTATTTTTTGGTAAGGAAAAAAACTACTTGCCTGCAGGATGAACATGTCATTCTCCTTATCCAATTATTGGTTAACATCTCTCTAGGGAGTGAAAGGAAGGGAAAGATGTGGCTATAGGCATCCAAGACCAAGTAATGCTTACAACATTGGCTTCCAAAATACATGACAAATGTGATCGGTGTGACCAAATTTCCCACCCTCCCCTTATTTTTCAATATACACATCTTGAACTCTCATATTTGAACGCCAAGAGCTATCTGAAAAGGAAACTTGTCTTGCACAAAGCTGATTATAGTAGCAGTCTCTCTCTACCTATTGATGTACTCCACTACACCATGTGTTTTTCCCCTTTACAGAGATAGGCTGTTATGAACAACAGCTGCTCCCAATATATTGAAATAGAGCAAGTACAGATTTCTGACTATATATGTTATTTTAATTGTCCAAGAATTAGGTGCCTTAATGCTCTGCTCACTTTGCAAAGTAAGAGTCATGAATAAAGTAATTACAAGCTTCCACAAATTTTAAGAGGCTCTAGTCTGTCTTATGCCACAGCTGTGGAGTTTCAGGTTTCACCATCCAGCAGTTAGTGGGTAAAATTTAATAAAACGTTGGAAACCAATCTTTTACTACAAAAGTCCATAGAGCAAGATGGGAAACTGCCAGGGCTTTTAAAGAGTTGTTTGAATTAAACACGCTTTGCATGAAATATTTCAGGTCCTCAATCAGAAGTGGGTCAGAGTTTCAAAACACTAATAAGCACAAGGAAAGATTAAGATGGAGGAAGATTTTGCAAGTCATTGTCCTTATTGTACTTGAATCGGGACTTAGGTTGCTCTTAAGTTAAAAAATGCTAATTTTGAAAAACTGCTTTGCTTGAAGATGATTTGTTCAAATGTGCAAATTATTTTGGACTGGGCTCTAATATTCATGGGAGTGAGTGAAAGTATATGCCTTCTTGATACCAAAAACTATGATTTACTCTGACTTCCCCAAATCATATCAAAGCAACATTCTTTAGTTCAGGGGTGGGCAGTTACTTTGCTGGGGGGTTGCTTAATAACTTTTGGTGAGATATCAAGGGCTGCAAGAATAGCCCCTCCCCTTGACAGGTGCCCTGCCCACTGATTGCCATCTTGGGACCAGAAGTCCCACCCCTAACCCCTGACCTTTGCCACCAGAAGTCTGCCCCCCCATCATTTACTTTCTCCTGCCACCCCTCCCCCCCCCAACATTGCCCCTGGAAGTACTGGGAGGGGGGTTGCCATCTTAGAACTGGGGTAAAAATTATATACTAAAACTCGCACCTCTACTAGAACAAGGGCAGGCACTTATTTCGGCTGGAGGGCTGCTTAATGAGGTTTGGTGAGCTTTTGAGGGCTGCATGGGTAGCCTTGGCCCTTGACAGTTGCCTTGCCCCCTGGCTACCATACTGGGCTTGAAAGTCCCGCCCCTAGTCCCTCCCCTTACACTTGACCATTTGCCACTGGAAGTCCCTCCCCTTGCCCCCTGGAAATGCTCCTTTTGGGAGTTGGGGGTTGCAATTTTAGAACCAGAAAAAAAAATCATACACTAAAAGTCAAATTCCTACTATATAACATATTTTAATGTTACGTACAAAAATATTTTTGTCATGATTTATGTTTGCATAATGTATATAGAGGTGATTGCATAATAACTCAAAAATAAAGTCTTACTCTTGTAAATTGTGTGGTGGGGTGTGGTTGTGGGGGGGCAATAGGGTATGGTGGGTAGGTGTGGATATGCAGGGGGTTGTAGTGTTTGTGGGGTGTTGAGGGAGGGTAGGGGGTGTGGGGACCCCCCCCCCCAACACACACACTGCCTGCAGGCAGCAACAGCAGGTAGGGGAACTTGAGTCACTTGTGTCTGACATAGACACTGCTCCCTGGTGGCCCATGGCTCCAGCCAGAACTGCATGGGGGCAAGGAGCACAGCCCAGCTGCGCCGCCTCTATTGTGGAAGCTCTGTGTGCCACATGTGCAGTTCCCACACTTGCATGTTGCACTGAAGAGACGCTCCATGCGCTGGAGCCGGCTGGCTTCACTACTCCCTATTGCTCAGGTCCCGAGACTCCATGGGGAAGTAGGGGTGGGGCTCCCCTCTCCTCCCCTTTCCTCTGCTCTCTGATGGCTTGCTGTGCCCTGAAGTACTTTTGTGCTCCAGCCAGCCCCTTCTCAGCAGATTGAGCCAGGAAAAGCAGCCATGGGTTAGCAGTTTGACCTCTGGGGGCCCCTGCCAGCCGGGGCTGCTCCCACCAGGCTCCATGTGTTGCACATGAATAAACTTAGTTCTAGAGTGAATTGCTCCCGGGTATACATTCAAATAGCATGCCCCGGAGCAAAAAACTGGAGCAATAAGCTCCAGAGTTTATTCATGTGCATTAATTGTATGTGTAGACATGCCCAGAGAGAACCATTTTATATATGGAAGCAGGCCCAGTGGCAAGAGCAGGTTTGTGGCCTCAGTGCTGCAGCCTTTAAAGAGCTTCTTGTGTTCAGGTCTCAGGAATCATGGGTTGGATGAGATTTTTATTTCATTACAGGAGATCCTGTGACTTGTAATTAGAGAGAGTTGACAATGCAGTCTTCTCCAAAGCATGTTGCATTGGCAGTAGCTAATGTGAGCTATTGTAGAACAGGTGCAGTGTCTACTATAGGTATCTAGGTTGTAGCTGTATTGCTCTAGAGACAATAGGAATCAGAACTTGTGGTAATTGTTTATTAGACCAACTAGATTTTTGCAAAAAAAAAAAAAAATGTATTTGCAAGCTTTTGTACACAAGCACCCTTCTTCAGGCATAGGGGAAAAGATTGTAAAAGTTCTCCAAGGTAGAAATTTAAGTTCATATTGCATAGTTAAAGGTGTGGTAAAATCTCTTGTTTGAAATGGTACACTTTATGCAGGTTAGGCCCAGGGAAAAGTTGGAATAGTCTGTTTACCTTGAAGTTGTTTGGTAGCAAGCAGGATGTAGTCACATTTCCTTGTGGTTATGATGTTTCATATTTCACAAGAGTAAAATGCTCTTCTGGGCAGGAAATTCTTATGTGGTGAGGTATCCAGGTTGTAGCCATATTGGTCTAGAGGAAAAGGCAATCAGGACACAGTACAGACTATATCTTTTATTAGACCAACAAGGTTTTTGCAATTAAAGAAATTGTTTTGCAAAAATCTTGTTGGTCTAATAAAAGATACAATCTCTACTATGAGTCCCGATTGCCTTGCATTGTGAGGTATCTCTGGGCTCTGCCATGCAAATTACCTCAGACAAAGGCACGAGCAAGGTCTCGGGTTTTGGGTGGTAAACCTTGCTTCCTCCTTGAACAATTTGAAATTAAATCTTCAAAATTTTACAAGTCACTGTGAATTTTTTAAAATGAAAAATTCAGAATTTTTCATTTAAAATTTTTCAAACCGCCATGTCTACTACAGTGCAGTTATTGTTGTGGAATTGCTAACTTGGAAGATGGGAGCTCTCTTTGATTGGCCATGCTGACTAAGCTGTTTTTTCTTGTCTTCAATTCTTTTCTTCCAGCTTCAAACTCTGATTCAAGAGACTGACCCTGGCGCAGATTACCGCATCGACAGAGCTCTGAATGAAGCTTGTGAATCAGTAATACAGACTGCTTGCAAACACATCCGATCTGGAGACCCCATGTAGGTGTCTGCTATGCAGTTACAAAAAGCTTTATCATTGCTACTGGGAATGGGCATGCATAGAGTTCGCTTACTGACTTATATTAACCAACCCTAAACAAAGAATTACAAGCAAATTTGCAACATGTACAAGCAATTTGTATAATATCAGAGGTAGGAACTAGGCTCTCTGAGCTGCTGTAGCTACTAGGTTGCCTTGGCATTAGCAGGGGATGTGACGAGTTTTTTGAGTGTAGGTTAAACTGGAATCATTTGATGTGAGCTTCTCTTGCACAGAACCTTGGCCTCATTTTTTTTCTCATCAGAAGTGTCATAAAGTACAATAACAAGTCTTGAAAGACAAGAGAAGGAAATGCATGTTGTAGACAGAAATGTTTGCTTTTTATATCCTTTTTTGAGCTCCATTACTTTGTCAAAAATAAAACACTTGATGCTGTTTTCCCAGTTTGTCAGTATTGCTGCAACAGGTTCATCTAGGCAGTAGAATTTGGTGTACATGGGAGGCAAGCTATTTTGGCTTCTTTTTGATGGTAAATATGTTCTCTGTTCAAACTTGCACCTCTTTCCAGCCCAAATTCCTCCCAGGTGAGGGCTGCATGTAGGGTGGACTTAGCCCATTTACACATAGTGGGGGCATCTCAGCGTGGTCTCACTTATCTCGCCTTCTTTTCTTTGTCTCCCGTTCACAGGATTCTGTCTTGCCTAATGGAGCATTTGTACACTGAGAAGATGGTAGAAGACTGTGAGCACAGGCTCCTGGAACTCCAGTACTTTATTTCTCGGGATTGGAAGTAAGTATTGTAAAATGTAAAGTGCTCTTCATTTCCATATTGTTCATATCAAGTATATGGTAAGTAATTCCCACCAGTGTTGCTTTTTGTTGCCCAGTGAAGTTATCCCATACTAGTATGATCAACATATTTTTGCCCTGAAGACTTGGCACTTCATCTTTCAGTTTGGGATCTTGTTAATCAAATATGCTGTGGGGCCACCCACCGATGTCTGGCACTAGTTCAGCGGTACAGGATCAAACTTTCTAGCAAACGTGTCTTTAATTAGAACTCTGAGGCTCAACGTCTATACGTGTAATCAGTTCACTGTTCATACTTCAGCGTAAGTTCTCTTTCTCAGCAGATGGGAGCAAGAGCGTTGCAGTGATGGGTATTATAAAAACCAAGACACTTTCTGCTCACTATCGCAAGAATTCACTCTTAAGATGCTGGCTGTTGTTTTTATGGAGCTTAAAATGCTTCCATTCTCCACCTTGTTCCAAAACGTGGAGGACCTGACTTTCACCCCATGGATTGGGTGGAATTCCCTTTAATGTTTTCTCATTGCCACTTGTTTAGCTAGTCGCTTCTAGTGATGGCTGTGAATGCTTTTTTTTTTTTTTCTTTTCTTCTGCTATAGCTGAGTTTACTGCCTGTGGCAGCCTTCCAGCAGTGAGTCTCTCTTGGTTGAGTCAAATCATGCAATTCACAGTTTTTCCTTCTGCTGATTAACACATATTTAACCCTTGCTCTGCTAGAACAAATATTATTCAAATTCAGATCTGAAGTCAACAGTTTGTTGTTTTTTTTCTGGCCATGCATATTTAATCAGTGTTCTCTTGAACTAGCTAATAAAATTGCAGCATAAATTCCTAGAGGGAGAAACAGACTAGAAGTCGTGCACCATTCTTTTTTTCCTTACTGCTTTTTAAAGCAAGTGTTCATATAGTTTGGTCCACCAATTCCACCTGTGTTCTGCCCTTAAAAATGCAATGAAAGCTTGATGATATTTATCATCCTTTGCTTTGTCACTAAATTTCCATTCCAGGAGGCTGACAACACCAAGCTGCTTACTTGGTTTAAAATTTAAGTGTCTTTGCTAGAGCAGACCTCTTGTTTGTGATGGCAGGCTGCAATAGATCTTCATTTAACTTTGTCACCCCATATCTATATTGCTGAGCTAAATTAGAACCAATTCTGCTTCTTTTACTACTTAGACACATTTCAAAGTGGAAATAATAGTACTTACAGTTTATGCTTTATAGGCAAATTTATTATGTAAGCGACTTGGCTTTATCTTGACCTGCTGCTGTGTCACCTGAGTGAGCTGATTTATCAATTTCTGTGCACTAAGCTGTCATTCTTGGTTAATATTCAAGTGGGACCCCTTAAGAGAGTTGGAGTGCTCGTGAAAGTAACGTTGGTTATTTGGTTGCTCATTCTTTCCTGTGAGTTAGAATAAGACCCATTTCCTTGCCTCTTACAAGGGACCACTGCTTGAAGTGACCTCTTTAAATAAGGCTGTAAACCGAGGACATTGCTACCTGTAGGCATTAAAGAGCCCAGAACACTTTTTTTTTCAAGAGAAGGGACAGTTCCAAATTGAATGCTACGTATTGTGCCAACCTGCTGGTTTAGCTTATTAGAGTTTCTAACCTCTAGTACTACTACACTGTGTAGTATTGCTGTGTGCAACTTGAAATGGATTTTAATCCATTTTATTAGTTTCAGGCCAGTTGTTTGGTGGACTTTGCTTAGAAGCAAAATTATAAAATATCTGCTAACCTTGATGGCATGAAAGTGCTGTGGTAGTGATGATGCAAATTCTTATTCTTCTACAGATTGGACCCTGTTCTTTACCGCAAGTGTCAGGGAGATGCCTCTCGGCTCTGCCATACCCATGGGTGGAATGAGACTAGTGAACTGATGCCTCCAGGAGCTGTGTTTTCCTGCTTGTATAGACATGCATACCGCACAGAGGAGCAGGGAAGGAGGGTATGCAGTAGAGACTTAACTTCTCATTATATCAATTAATGACTTAAGAAATCTTGGTACGAGTTCAGACTTTGGTCAACCTGCATTAAAACTGCTAATACTGTTGAAAGCTAGTTGAGAAAATTGTTTGCAGATATTTTGTATCAACTAAAATGTCCTTCCCAGGTTTTTGCGTAGACCTAAACTCTTCCTTGAAAAGTTAAGAAAGTATGTGACTTCTCATTAGAGAAATAGCCACTCAGCAGAATGGAACCAGGCGATTGCAGTAAAGCTTGAGAATTAAGAGTTCTGTGTCTAAATCTGCATGTGGATACTGAGTAGCCCTCTTCTCAACAAGTCATTTGATTTCTCTGTGCTGTAAATAGATTTGGCAGAATTCATATTTATTATTATTATTATTTCAACAGCTAAAATCAGTGGTTATTGTTATGTAATTTTATGCAATTTTAAATAGTTTTTTTTATCAATGTAAATTTTTAGGTGGGGTGGGGAAAGTCAAAGCGGCACTGCCCATGCACTGCTTCTTTGTCAGTAGCTCAGGCAGCTGCTGTAAGAGCCAGGGGTTGTGCTAGTAAGGCTGTGCTGGGACGGGGGTTTGCAAGGGCAGGGTTGTTGGCAGCCAGGAGCCTGGTGCTACTGGCTGTGGTTCTATGGGAGTTCAGCCCATGTGCCTGTGTGCGTGTGCGTGTGTGTGTGTGTGTGTGTGTGTGTGTGTGTCTCCAGAAAAACTTAGCCACAAGCACGGCTAGTGCCAGAGCAGCCCCTGAGAGAGTAAGGCCCTTCCTTGCCGCCTCCTGTGTGGGTGGGTTTCTCTTGCATGCCCTCCTTGCCCCCCTGGGGTCTGCTTGTCCTCTGCTAGCCTGGAATGGGGCTGGAGGAGCAACCCAGGCCCCATTGTCTCTGCCTCTGCCTGTGGGGCTGGCTGGGAGCCAGGGTTTTTTCTGCTACTAGGGCACAGCCCTGGCCTCTGCCGCCCACCACCTCCTTCACGTGGGTCCTACAGCCATAAGCCTTACACATAGTCAGTGTGTGTGTGTGTGTGTGTGTGTGTGTGTGTGTGTGTGTACCTGGCACCCCCCCCTGCACGATATTTCCTAATCCCCATCCCAGATTTTTTTTCTTACCTCCTCTCTCGATTACCAGCAGAAGTATTTTTCATTGGCCTATGTGTGTGATAATGATGTCACTATGTATCAATAGAAATTGAATGCTGCCAGACCTAGTTATAAAAATATACTTACATTTAGTTTTTGTGACCTAGGGACATTTTTGTATTTCTTCAGAGTTTAATGGATTACTTAAACCAAATGTAGTGGTACAAACTATTTTTCAGCCCTTTGCAGCAGATAACGTAATTCCTTTTAGCAATATAAACCTATAACAAAAGCATGAGGAAAATTCAACTTACTGCACTGATGCTTTCCTATGAAGAAATCTATCTGAACTGTTTTTACACTGAGTTTTTCTGTTGAGATTACTGTCCTCTAGTATTGTGGGGATACGAAGCATCTCTTGGAAATAGTTGGGGTGCTTTTCAAAGATCCTGTTCCTCCTCTCGTATTACATTGTAGAGGTCAGTTCCAGGGAGCTATAATGGGATTACATGGCAGCGTTAATGAATTTCTAGAGCCTAATGTAAATTGTCTTATGGTGGAAGATTCGGTTGATGAAAAGTTTCTCTTATGATGGGGAAGGAAGGAACCATCTTTCAGTGGTTTTGAATTTCAGTGTCTGGTGCCAGCAGGGAGATTTGTCATTGTAATTCGTTTCGCCTTGGTGCTAACCACAGGAATTTAAGGTTCACTGCAAGTGATCCAGCAGTTAAGATGGGCAGGTTCTTTGTGTAAACTATTTTCCTTCTGAAGAAGGATTGGAGAGCAAGTGCCTGCAAATAAGTGCTAGTGAAGGTTACTGATCAAATGAACAAGAGCTGCACTCCTATAAGGCAATCACTGGACAAGATCCTATATTGTATTTTCTTCTAACAGTGTTCGCATTTATTCTGGGTAACCTTCTATGCTTCCATTAATCTTACAACTTGTCAACAGCTCTGCCAGTATAGTTCAGGCGTGACCTGCAGTGCTACTTGCTATTTAAGTCCTGTATCCTTCCATGGTTTGCCTTGGTCTTGGGGGATATCAAACCTACTTTGCTGGGGTTCTCACAAGCGGGTCAGATTGTGCTAGGATTTGGACTGTTTCATTTAAATTGACACCGAACACATTTTGACTTAAGCAATCTCTCATATTTAGATGTAGTCCCTGTAGTCCTCTTTCAGTTGTAATACAGCAGCATCTTGTTGATTTTAGAGACCTATTTGGCAGTTAACTTAAAAAACCAAGTAAATGTTACCTTTCATTAATGATTTTAATTGAACACTGTGCCACAAAGATTGTAGAATATTAAGCATCCATTATAGTGGACTCTGGGGATAGTCCTTCCTACCCCCACCCACGAGAGAAGCCAGGGTACAGGACATCTTTGGAGTAGGAACTGCTTGGCTTGTGGAGGCCAAGCACTTCATGTAAACAGTGATCTGTACCTTAGGAAGAAGGACCTGAATGTTTGGTGAGAGATTTGTTATCTTTTTCCATGGTGCCTTTACCTCTGAATAACTTAGTATGTTCATTTACTGTGCAGCAGGTCAGAGCTCCATTTGTACCTTTTTAACAGTTTTTCTGCTTTCCATGTAGCTATCACGAGAGTGCAGAGCAGAAGTACAGCGAATCCTTCACCAGCGTGCCATGGACGTGAAACTAGATCCATCCCTCCAGGACAAGTGCCTGATTGACTTAGGGAAATGGTGCAGTGAAAAAACAGAAACAGGACAGGTACTGTACACTAGCCCTTTGTTGCTGGCAAATCTTAAATCTCTATATTCATAGTTTAGAATTTTTTAAAATGTGTTAAGAATTGTTTAGGCAATCTGTAATGAGTACATAGATGAAGACGTGTTATAATATCTTTCTGTAAAGGAGTAAGTATGTTGTTATAGAAGTTGCTGTATGGAAATGTGTATGATGTTATGGGATGATAATTGATATTTTGTTCTTTCCTTTACTGTAGCAGCTATTTTTTTCCTCTTGTATCCTATTACCAGTGTGAAATGTATCTTCTCTCTGTCTTTATCCCATTTGCATCTGGCAAATATTGACATGCTTCCCATGTTTGAAAAGAGCTGGAGTTAACATCTGCTGCTCTCTAACAAAACTTTGTCAGCTACTTCTTTCATGTAAAATCAGGTGTGGGCAATTATTTGGGCTGGAGAGCCACTTGGCATTTTGGTGTGCAGTTGCAGGCCAGGCTAGCACACTCCTTCTACCCCCCTACAACAGCTCACCAGAACTCCCCTAAGTGGCCATCCAGCTTGCTATCATGGTCCGTCTCTTGACCCCAGGTCAAGGGGTCCCTTGGCCCCTCTTGACCTGGGTGTGGCAGGAGGCAGCCTGAGCTGTGGTGCGTACTGCTGGTCCTGCCGCCCCCTGGCAAACAGTGGGGCTGGGGTGGTGTGGCAGCCAGACTCTGCTTCCCAGCAGCCTGGATGAAGCAGGTGAGTGGGGACACGCTTGGCCAGGTAGATGGGATGGGACTGTGGTTGGGTAAGGAGCAGTACCCAGGAGCAAGATGGACAGGCGGAGCCAAGGCTTGGATCACGGAACCAGTGCAGGGAGTACATCACGGCCCTGCCCCAGGCTTTTGCTGTCACCGCCCTGGGATCCTAGCCCTAGCTCTGTCCCACCCACAGCCCAATCCCATCTTGCCTGGCCAAGTGTGTTCTGCCTACTGGGGTCCAGGCTGGTCTCCATAGTGCCCCTGCTGGTGGATGCAGTGTGGATGGGCCAGGTCCAGCAGCAGTAGAGACACTAGTGGTAGCAGCCAGAAGGAGCTGCTGCTGGGAAACGGAGTCTGGCTGCCGTACCACAGCACTCCAGCCCTGTTGCGCGCGCCTGCGGGTGGTGGGACCAGCCTTACCCACCACAGCCTGGGTTAGCCCCCCAAGCCTAGGCCAGGTGAAGCTGGATCCACTGTGGGCCAGACCAAATCCCTTGGTAGACTGAATCCAGCCTGTGGACTTTATTTTGCTCACCCTTGAGGTTAAATCCTTGTGTACTAATGCAGCTGTAGGGCGACAGTTGTTAATTATAATTGTGAGAGAACCCCACTGGTTTTTTAGGTGTTTGTTTTTGAGAGTTTAATCCTAGAAGGTATTTTTGAGAGTTTAATCCTAGAAGATAAAATATATCAGATTCACCCAAAGAACCTTGTCTCCCTAATCCTAGAAGGCAAACTTATAGCAAAGCACTAGCTGTAGAAGAACATTCTGCTGAGAATACATTCAAGCAGACGTGATTCATGGTAGACTGGCATCCTTAGTCATTGCTTACAGTGTGCGTTTCTAAATATATGCGAGAGAGATCAAATTTGTAATTAAAATTGTGCAAAGAGGGAGGGAGGGAAAAGAAAATACAATTTTACAATGAGGTATTTTTTCTACTTGAAAATAAGGCTGAACAGAAAAAGCCAGATGTCCTCCAAGGTCATCTTTTCAAGCAAAAAAATGTCAAAAATTTAGAACTGTTTGGATTTAAAACTAGCGCACTGAAATTAAAAGCAAAATCCAGGTTGTGGGAAAGCCTGGATCAACACAAGCATTTCATCACTGTTACAAAACTCACTGACTTTGGGGGAGAGTTTTCCTTAGAGCAGGGGTTGACAGCATACGGCTCATGGAGGCATTGGATCTCACCTGTAGAGCTGGGGGCTTTTGCAGCATTGTGGCACTGAGGGGCTGTGGTTCTGTCCTGGCCAGGACAGCAGAAAGAAGTGGTAGTGGCAGCTGAATTTGGAGCTCCAGCCTGCTGCTTTAAAAATTTGCTGACCGCTGCCCTAAAGGAATGAATGTTTGGGCATTGGGTACTTGTGAGTTGTAATCGTTACTCTACCATGGTGCCTACACCCTTGTGCAAATTATTTTGCCAACATGCCTCCACTTTACCATGTTTGTAAAATGGAAAACCAACATTTCCAATCATCAGGAACTTGAGAATAGAAACCAGCAGCTAGTATAAATACCAAAAAAAGGTGAGAAGCTTGGATAAATCAGTTTGCCATATACATTTTAATTGACCCAAAGTTAAACTGGAGGAGAAACATTGTGAGGACAGTGTGTATTAGAAGTGAAAAAGGAAGGGCATGGTGTCATGTTCATGAATCCTGATAGTCTGGTCACCAAGTCCTAAATGATTAAAGTCTGCATCTGAGGCCCTTTCTTGATGTAAGATCAGATTGACTCCAAGCTGCTAGAGTAACAGGAATAAGTGAGTCTTCCCAAAAGCAGTGCTAGTTCTTGAGATGCCAGTAAAGAGGTAAAGTAAAGAGCATGGTGAAAGTTGGAGGTCCTCTGCTTAGACTGCTGAATGTATAGCCACTTCTGTACAAGTTCTGAATGTTAGTTATTTGATAACATACTAAGATAATTGGGTCTGTCTAGGAACTCGAATGTCTCCAGGACCATCTTGATGACTTGGTGGTTGAATGCAGAGACATAGTTGGAAACTTGACTGAGCTGGAGTCTGAGGTAAGCAAGAATGAAGGGAAGAATCTCTAAAATAGCATGGGCAGCTGCCTTCAGGCCATTACTGAAAAACACATGGATTATCAACTTGACGCAGAAATACTGCCATTTCTGAGGTGAAGCAGTGTCATCCTGAGTTAATTGTTTTGAGAGGTGTTGAATAACAGCTTGGATTTTTGCATTGGCAGAATGCAAGGAAGGTGGTGAATGGCCATGGTGTTGGGGCTAACCTTTACTGTAGAAAAAACCATATAGCCTTTAATCAAAATGTGTTCAGAGCCTAAATTGTTGGTTACATCTTCAGGGAGTTTCATCAACATATTCCACTCCCAACCTTTTTTGCCAAAAGCAACAGTTGGACACTGTAGGAACGCCAGTTTGATTCATTAAAATCACTTTACCTGTAGTAGTTGGGGCTTTTCTTAGGTGTCTGTGGGCAAATGGTTTTCTCCATTTTACATGTCAAGCTTTTTTGCTCTAGGATGATGATCTACAAATCCCTCCACTGTTTCTTGTGGCCAGAAGAAATTAAAAGCTGAGATTTGACAATGAGAGCAAAATGTGATGGTACCTACAGCATGTTACTTGCTCAGTATTGTTCCCATAGAGTAGTTTAGGTTGGGGACCACTGCTGTAGGGGCTATTTCCTTCCACCACTTAAAACACGCTTGGCTTAATCCTTGCTTACTGTTTCTGTTTATTTTTGCTGTAGTATCTTGAAGTGTAACTCTTCCTTGGGGACTCTCACTCTGCTATTGGAATTATCTGAGCAGTAGGGGACTTCTCCAGCTCTGTGTGCAGAGCAGCTCTGTTCAAACACTTAAAGTTGAAAGGCTCTCCTACAGATCATATTACTGTCAGTGGAGCAGTGGTTGGCAACCATTTCAGGCCAGAATGACAGTTTGGATCGGAGGCAAGTGGGTGCTAGGACCAGTCTGCTGTTGCTTCTCTCTTCTGTGGCATGGGAGGAGCCACCACTGAATACCCATGTCTACAGGCCAGATCCAGTGGCTCCATGGGCTTTAGGGTGCCGATCTCTAGGCTAGGGCAGGCAGCATAACTGCTGGTGCCAATGGGAATGCTTACTGGATGTCATTTAAAAGAAGTGCCATAAACAAAACAGAGCAACTTTGTCTTGAAGCAGTTTTCAGGACCTTTTAATGCATGAACAGAACCTTTCATTTGGCTTCGTGTTCAGTTTCTATAACAAATGAACATGTGTCTTTTCTACAGGATATTCAGATTGAAGCCTTGCTGATGAGAGCGTGTGAACCCATCATTCAAACATTCTGTCATGTAGGTTCATGATAGTCTTGGATACCTAGAAGAATGAGAAATATTTTGAATCGGTTGTAGTTTCCAGTGTTTAAAACTCATCAGAAGTACTGCAAGGCATTAAAGGGAGTGTAAGCAGGTTTGGCATAAGTTGTCATAAACGGATGTGCAGTTTACACTAGCATTGCATAAAGATAAAAATTGTGTCACTATTCAAATGTAGTGATCTAGTTAACTCTACTCCCATCAGTGTGAGGGTAGGAATGCTGTAAATGAAGTTCTGAACCCTAATCACGCTGTTTGCAGAACTAAAAGAACCAAGAAGAAAGAATTGTGCATATAGTAAGCTGCTAAATCAGAGACCTCTTTTATTTCATCCAGAGCTTCTGCAGTTATTGGCCCCCACTGCAGAATCTAGGCTTCACAGGTAAAACTGCACTGTAATTCAAAACATTGCTATTTTTATGTTGGTTCGGGACCACAGTTCTTTGTTAGCAAAAGGACTTAGTGGCTTCACTCCTTCCTTGATACTCTTCCTTTCTGTCACTGTTTTAAGAGCAGCTTTAGTGCACCATTGTGTGATACTAATTAGTCAGACTAACAGATGTGAGGCCACCTGCTTTTATGAATGTTAATGTTTGCAGTATGTTAATATGTTAAATAAAGTGCCTATATATTTGTGGCTGTTTCAGATCATTCTGCTTTCAGAAGTGTGCTTCATGATTGTAGTAGGGTTTAATGTGCCACAGGCCACACATGGTCATTTAATGTGAGCTTAAATTCAAAGCAGAGACTTGTAATGTTAACTTCACTGATCTAAATTCTTATGGGGGTCACATCTTTGAATTCTTTTAATTTGTAAGTGGCATAGTTTATGGGGATGCATCTCTTAAAGAGAGTGAAAGCTTGTCCATCTATCTATTCAGGAGGTGGCAGATAACCAAATAGACTCCGGTGACCTAATGGAGTGTCTGATCCAAAACAAACATCAGAAGGAGATGAATGAGAAGTGTGCTATTGGAGTCACTCACTTCCAGCTGGTGAGCAACCTCTGCCTTTTCACACTTCATTACCTGTTGCTTCTATCTTACCCATGGAGAGATGGAAAGGAAATGGTTATGAATGCCCCTCTTGTTATACAAGACCTAATCCATTTGAGTGATATACTCATCTGATCCCTTAGTCTGTGTCCCTCCACCCACTCCTCTCAGCACCTCTTAACCTCCCATCCTATACAGACATTTAAAGAACAAGGCACTTTCTGGTTTGATAAAGAATGTATAGAACAGAAAAGATCATTAAATAGGAAAGCCAGGAAATTAAGGAAAACTGGAACAACTTTTTGGAGTGCGATTTGAAAGTTATGGAAAGCTTCTCCAGATTAACCTTATGGCTACTTGTATCAAAAGGAACAGCTAACTTTAATTATAACATTGAAAATAATATTACCACAGACATTTGGGTAGAATATTTTTCCAATCAGTTTACTTTTTTTATGGAACAAATAAATAGTAATCTAGGGAGTAATAAACCCCTCACTGATACAATTAAGTATTGGGTAACAAAGGATCAAATAACACATCTCCTTAAAGTACAACAGAAGAATAAAGCCCCAGGCCCATAACATTAAATGGTGGAGTCTGATCTTGGAAAAATGGTACAATTCTATAATTTAGTTGTGCCAAATCCTGGATTCTTGGAAAGGGAGTATTATTGTACCAATTTTTAAGACACGTTTAAAAGATAAGCTAGAATCTTATCGCCCTATAAGTTTTGATAGATGTTTCAGCTAAAAATTTTGGGCACCATTTGTTATCTCATAGCATGGGTAAAAGGGTAAACCATACTACATGAACATCAGACTGGATTTAGGGACGGATATTCCACTATTGATAACATATTTATTCTTCAATTTTTGAGACATAAGCATACGCAGATATACAGTGCTGATTTGTGCATTGCATTTGTAGACTTGTCAAGAGCTTTTGACAGTGTAGAAAGAAGTAAACTTTGGGAGAAATTGATAAACGATGGGATTAACCCTTCTCTTTTGCATTTGTTGATAGAATATTAGAAAGATACATGGGCCCAAGTTAGGTGGGGCTTGAAGGGTAAACTTGCACAAAAAAATCACATATACAAAAAGGGGTTAGACAAGGATGTATTTTGGCCCCTTTGGGCAATTGGCTAGTAAGCATATGAAGCCAAATTTACCTCTCAGATCATCTTGTATGGCACTGAAGTATGGGGTTATGCTGCTAGTAAAGATGTAGACATACCTCAGAACAAGTTTCTTGGGGCTCTTCTGGCTCTTCCTCCCTCAACTCCTGCATCTTTTTTTGGGATTAGAGTTAGGAATGGATTCTATTTTAATTTATTAGAATGGTGGGATTTTGGTTCATAATCCTGCCCCTTTTACCATCTTGTCTGCTTAAATTATGTTACATAGAAGTGATTAATAATTCCCCTCCTCTCCAACCACCCTGGTTAGCTTTTCTTTCCCATACTTTTGCACGTTCTGGGATGAGATACTATATTGATAATGTTTTTATGTTGGTGGGCTCTATTTTAGTATAATATTTGTAGTGTGTTTATTTTGTTTCAACTTATTTATATTATGGTCATATGTGTGTTGTGTCATTTTCGGGAGCGTGGCATTTAGCCAGAATCCTTACATAAATTGAATAGTCTGTGTCTGTAGGTTGCACACATGATCATAAATGATCATTGATCAATATAGGTTGTATGGATGATATTGATTGATGGATAATCAGTATGGTCAGCACCTTCAGGAGTAGGAAGAAAGATTAAATGCTTGCCTTTGTGCTTGATTGTACCCATTGTAAGCCTGATCTAGGCAACAGGCAGGAAGGGCATTTGTGGCTCTTGTAAATATGTTGTTCCATAAGAAGCCTTCTCCTGTAGAAAGGATACCTTAAAATGCTGGCCAGCATATTGTTTGGGGGAGGTGAAGAGGAGGCAAAATGGCAGGCCAGACTTAGTAGAATTACATCATGTACAGAGAGGGGGTGTCAAACTTGCCCTGGGCCAGATCCAGAACGCAGAGCTTTTGGTGGACCGGATCCAGCCTAGGGTGCCTATGGTAGGCTGGTGGCAGCTGCAGCAGCATGGTAGTAAGCCAAGCAGCCACAGGGTAATTGGGCCAGTGTCAGGCCCAATTAACTTGCCCTTCTGCTGCTGATGACCATGTCTACTGGGACCTGGGGAACATGGATTCTGCAGCAGGGCACATCCCCAACTGCCCATCAGGCTGGATGGAGTGGTTCTGGTGTTTGACACCCCTGATGCATGGCTTGCATTGGCTGTATCCTGGTAGAGCGTGGCGAGTCCGTTAATATTGAATAGGCTTTTTCAGGCAAGCCTAATATCACTTAATCGTTTAAACTGCTGCCTTTTCTAGGTTCAAATGAAGGATTTCAGATTCTCTTACAAATTTAAAATGGCTTGCAAAGAAGATGTGCTGAAACTTTGCCCCAACATCAAAAAAAAGTAAGTAATGCTTTAAGCAATGAGCAGCCTGACTCAGACTCGTAGTGAAGTTCTAAAGCAGCATTTCTCTGCCTCCTATTATACAAGTGTTAATATTTCCCACTGAAAAAAAAAAGTCATTGTTCTTGTTGCATTCTGCATGACTTCTGCAACTGCCTCATGGTGGTGTTCTTGCCTCTAAGCTGGAATTCTTTCATAGTTTCATAGTTGGTAGGGTCGGAAGGGACCTGAGCAGATCATCGAGTCCAACCCCCTGCCATGGCAGGAAAGAATGCTGGGGTCAAACGACCCTGGCAAGGTGATTATCTAGCCTCCTTTTGAAGATCCCCAGGGTAAGAGTGAGTACCACTTCTCTTGGAAGTTGGTTCCAGATCCCAGCCGCCTTGACCGTGAAATGTGCTTGTGAGGCTTGGTTGGGGTAGGTCATGTTTAAAGTAAAAAACACAAATTATAATCACAATTAGAAAATGCATACACTCTTGGTGATTTATCTTCCTTATGATATACAACTGTAACTCACAGCAGCATCAGTGGGATTTATCATTATACAATGAGGACATAATTCGTGATGGCTTAATCCTACATTACATCTCTATCCCTAGATACAATATGACTGAGGTATCATACATTTATAGTCTGCGATATATTTGATATCATTTTCCTCTGCCTTGGTATCAGATTTTGAATTTTTCTTCTGATTGTTAAAACATTCTCATGCTGAAAAAAAACCAAGCAGTTACTCTTGCTGCTCTGCGTCCCCTGGGAGGGCTGCAGGCTGTTGGGCTCTTCTTGGGGGACACGTGCCACCAGATCTGCAGCAGGGGCTGGGGAGAGCGGCAGCAAGCAAACCCTGGGTGGCATGGGACAAAGCACAGCTTGCCTGTACTCACCCCGGCACCTGCTGCAGTGGCCCCGGGAGCGACTGGTGCTGGCAGCAGTGAGAACTGTCACTGGGTGTGGGGTGGGGGGTAGGGCATGCCTCTTGCTGCTCTGTGTAGCCTGGGAGGGCTGTGGGCTGGGGGGCTGTGTAGGGCTCTTCCCAGGGGTTCATACCCCCGGATCTGCATGTGGGATGAAAGGAGGCTGCCACTGCAGGCTGGGGTCAGTGGCATCACCAGTCTGATTTTTTCCTGGTGTTTGGGGTGGGCGTGCTGAGAACAGCCCAGTGCCCCTGAACCTGCACATGAGATGACAGCAGGCTGCTGCTGTAGGCTGGGGTCGGTGGTGGTACTGGGCTGTTCCCGGCGCTTAGCGTGCCCACCCTTAGCACTGGGAAGAATCACCCTGGTGCTGCCACTGGCCCCAGCCTGCAGTGGCAACCTGTTGTCATCCTGCATGCGGATCTGGAGGAACATGCGCACTCTGGGAAGAGCCCAACACAGCTCCCCAGCCTGTAGCCCTCCTGGAGGGTATGGAGCAGCAAGAGGAGCTTCCCATCCCACCCCTCCTCCCCACACCCACTGACCGTTCTTGTTGCAGCTGGTGCTGGTCGCTCCCAAGGCCACTGCCGCGGGGGCTGGGGTGAGTGTGGACAAGCTGCGCCAAGTCCTGTGCCACCCAGGCCTCTGCTTGCTGCCGCTCCCCTCAGTCTCTGCTGCAGCTGTTACTCAAACTGCCAATTGCTCAAATCACGAGCAAGACTTTATGAAGGGAGATAAGGCAAGGTGCCATGTTTATTGATTGCATGAGTTAGACATAGAGGTTCCAAGTTTTCCTTCACTTCCAATCACAAATTCTCTGCCACTGCCTGAGCAGATGTCCAGTAACATACCTGGTCTTTTTCTGTCCCACCAGCTGCCTCTCTCTTTGGGGGGGGAAAGGGGCACACAGGATCCTAAAGGATCTGTCTCACATTTCTTTAACTGTTTTTGATCTCTTTGAAGCTCCACTGCCTGCATAACACTTTACCTTGCCATAACTTGCACTTGTGCGTTTTCTGTAAAGTTTGTAAAGTGTAAGTTACAACTGCTCTTGTAACTATCCATAAAAGACTAATCCTTCCCAAGGACCCTGTTATTTACACAGCCTTTCCAGCAGAGATGACTTTCTTTGCTCACTCCTAGCTTCCCATTTCAAACACAACAGGAGGTTCTTACTTAATCCCAAGCGGACCACAGCATGTACTCCTGTCCATTACTTTGCCTGACTCAGACAAACAGTTTTTTGGTCAGCAGTAACAAGCCACATCTCCTGCACAAAACTTACAACCTTAGTCACAATTACCGTACAACTTTACCTTGCTACAAATTTTTAACTAACCCCTTTAAAACGCCTCCTAACAGTTAGTTAGACAGAGGAACAGATTTTTAGTAGCTTCCCATAAAAGCCACATTGCTGCAGCCTCCTTTTTCATGGAGTGTGGTGGTATATTATATATCTGCACCTAGTTCTTAAATTTGTCTTTTAAATCTGCAGTGGTACAGGCATCTCTTACTGCTTGCTTGGTCCATGGGCTCTGTTTAAATTACTGCAGTACTTGTTTTAAAAAACTCGTATCTTGCAGATATGTAGGCAGGGTATCTTTGACATTTTTTTACATCTGCCTCGCTCTTTACGGTCTTATGGACTATCCTGGCAGTCCATAACCCACAAAGTGAGCTTCTTAATATCCACAAACAAAACTTAAGTTACAACAATGAACCCTTCTCTATAGGCGGTCCGGACTACCCTGGCAGTCCATAACCCACAGGTGGGCTTTCCCAGTCAAACAACTTGTCCAAGTATTCAGGTATTCCTCTATTCTTCTAAGTGGTCGGTCTAACCAAAGACCACTACACCTCCACCATTCTCCATGAAAAATGTTACTCAAATTGCCAATTGCTCAAATCACAAGCGAGACTTTATAAAGAGTGATAAGGCAAGGTGCTGTGTTTATTGCTCGCATGAATTGGACAGAGGTTCAGGGATGTAGGTTGTTAGACAGACAGAGGTTCATGCACACCATTCATACAAACACACACAATCATCATAGACATCATTACACACAGGCGTATACAAAACAACCTTTTCATCCACACATACACCAGATATAGTTACCAGCAGTAGTTGCTCAATATCAGCCCAGGGTGGCCAACCTGGGCTTATTGAGTAGATGATGATGATTTGAAGATTAATAGCTGGAGCAGGGTGAACAGATGCATCTGTGCTCTGGTGAAACAGCAGTAGAGAGAGAGACTCACCCAACTTTACATTTTTAAAGTGTTCTTTTATAGGGATTGGCATCCTTTGTTTCAGTGTTTTGGGGTTTTTCCATACCCAGCTTCTGTTTTTGCTGCTGTTCTTTTGTGTTCAGCTTATTTTAGCCTTTGAGTGTTCTTGTTGCCTGTCTGGCAGAATTTCTTGTTCTGTTATCTCCTTTGTGCCCTCAAGCTTCAAAGGGATTCTTCAGCCGTTTGTTAGTTAGTTACTGGCTGGGAACTTACATTTGGTGCCTTGTTGCTTACATAAAGAGTTAAATCTTCTCTTGTCTCTATGCCATTCTCTCTCCGTTCACCCTTTTACACACACTCATACATAAGTAAATGAACTCTGCATAGCCTTTATGTCAAGCAGAAGGATACAAAATGGAGTTTTCAGGTTGCTTACAGGACAAGACTAACATGGTTATATTTTACTATTATTACACTCAATGTTAACATCAGCTACATTAGTTCAGTTCATGCTACACAGCGGCCCCAGGAGCAGCCAACACCAGCTGCCTGCACCAAGGCACGGTGCAGCCTAGGAGCTGGGTTGCGGGGGACAGGTGGAGCCCAGGCATGTGGGGAGCAAGCATAACGCGGTGCAGTCCTGAGAACGGCACCCCTCCTTCCGCCCCTTCCCTAGCCCCATCCTCACTTGCTCCCTCCCTCCCTGCCTTGGGAACCTATCCCTATTTGTTACTTTATAAAGTGGGTTCGCTTTATGGGAGGGAAACTTGTATAGCCTATGGCCAAATCTCCAAATCAGCCCTGAATCTTTTCAAATCGATTTGTAGGCTTCCGATTCGATTAGGACCTCTTAATTGGTCTCCCGATTTGCTTCGGATTCAGAGATTCGTCTGCCAAATTGGGCTGAATCTCCTCCATATTGAATTAGCTATTGAAGCTTTACACAGCCCTAATGTCTATGCCACGGGGCCCCCTGTCTTTCCACCTTCCTCCTGCTCCCTCCCAGCTCCCTGCAGGCTGGAACTCTGCCAGCCTGCAGAGAACTCATTGCAAAATGGCAAAATCCACGGGTTTCTCTGGTAAAAGGAGAAATTTGCGTTTGCCTCTGGTAAAAGGCAAAATCTGCAGTTTACTCCATTTTTCCATGGGAAACAGAAAATCTGGATCTCTACTGATAACACTGACAACAAAAATTAAATTGGAACATAGGCTCAGGGTGACTTCCTCATCAAGAGTAATATGCCTTTCACAAAATATGGTGTAGCTGCTCCATTAGTTCACATGTACTGTTTATAATGTAATATACATGTTTATACAGCATATTCATGAAATAACAAGTGGCAATTTCTAGAAGTGTGTACATGATTTAAGAGTCCAAATCCCACTTACACTCAGTGGGTTTTAGAATGAGAAGGTTGTGTGGAACTTCAAGGGTCATCTGGTCCAACCTCTAGTTCAAATCTCATTCTCTTGTATTTATGATGTCCTACACTGAACTAAACAGCTGGGTCTGGTTTTGGAAACAAAAAAAAAAATCTGTAAACTGTCTTTATAATTTCTATTTCAATTTCTCCCTCATCTGATTGTGTGCTCTTTGTATCTTCTGACCAAATGTGCAGAAGACTTTGTGCTGACTTAGCATCCCTTTGTGTTCCAGGGAGTTATTTAACTTCTGAGTAGCACGGTGTTTTGAGTAGTGTGTTGTGCCAGTCCTAGTCCTGTTGTCTGGCAAGAAAGTCCCAGAAATAAATTGCCATATGTATAAATAAGAATCTTTTCTTTCTCTGCAGGGTAGATGTGGTGATCTGCTTGAGCACTACTGTGCGTAATGACACGCTGCAGGATGCCAAGGAGCACAGGGTGTCTCTGAAGTGCCGCAAGCAGTTGCGTGTTGAGGAGCTAGAGATGGTAAGTGTGCACAGAGCTCTTGGACAGATTGCTGAATCACTTTTACTTGCTCTTCCTGTCAAGTCTTGTGTTATTTTTCTACACACCTTAAGAAAAGTATTGTCATTACATGAGATGCATTTCCTTCAGCTGTGGCAGAGTTGAAGGAAACAACTTTTGATTGCACAGCAGTCCAAGTCAGTTGCCCCTTCAGGCTGAAGTAATGACTTTTCTCATGTTCTGATGCCAGCTGCCTGAATTTGATTTCTCATGCTTTGTATTTAGAGAGCAGTACACACATGCCAGTTTCCCCTACTTCCTCAGGAGGCAAGTATTAGCCACATTTTACAGGTGAAGTGACATGTCTAGTACTACACAATGGGTCAGTTACTGAGGCAGGATAAAAAAAACAGGCAATTCCTGGGGTTTTTTCCTTGAAATTAAACAGCCTCTCAGCTTTCTGGCATTGGTGTTTACAGTACTAGAAGCACAAAATTTCCTGTGACATTTGTTTAATCAGTAAAACTTTGACTAACAGTCCTCAGCCACTTCAGAGGCAGCGCATACAACCCTTCAGTGGAAGCAGTTGGATGGTATACATCATTGAGGAGCAGTTCTGTGGAAGAGAGTCCTGTTGATGGTCTTCTCTTTAGCCAAAACGTGTCTGTCTGAGACCTATCTTTGACCCTAATGTAAAAAGAGGAGAAGGAAATTTCAGGGATACAGGGGGCTCCCTACATTTGTAGAGAGCGAAGGGGAAATCATGCTTACTGTCCACACTAAAGTGAATGCTGTGCGGTCCGACTCCCGATCCCACCTGGATCGCCATGTGCGAGCTCTCCCGATCCCATCTGGGTCGCCATGGGTGAGCCAGGGGCCCGTCTTTGTGTGTACACAGGCTGTGGCCGGTAGCCCGGGTACACGGGGTTGGAAAAAACCGCGGTGCGGTTTGGTACGCTCAAGCTAGAATCAGTCACGGAGGCGTAATGGTTGATTGAAAAGATTATTTACTTACACCCAAGGTGGTCGCGGTGTAGGCTGGTCAGCTTTCCAGGCTCAGCTCCGCTTGAGTTCTCGGTGGAGGACTCTAATAAACTCGGTTCCTTGACCCCGGAGTGAATCCGGCTCCGCGGGGTTCAAGAATTCGTTCCCACGGAGCAGCTGTATCTCCGTGAGTGTTACTCGGTTCCCAGGTCCCCCGGAGCTGTTAAACTCTGTGGGCTCGACAGTTGGGTCCTTAAGATAGGGATACGTCTGGGCTGCGATCGGCGACGGGGAGAGGCTAGAGGTTAGTTGCCTTGGAGTCGTTAAGGCTCCGAGGGGACGATAAATAAGTCCCCGTGGAGTTGTTGAAGCTCCATGGGTTCGACAGATTAAACCTCTGTTGCCCTCTTAAGGAAAAAGCTGGGTTCGTATGGATCAGCAGCGCTTAGAGATCCTCACGCTCCTTTCCCGAACTCCACGTGCTTTCTCTCTCTCTCCGATTTGGGCGGAAACCACCCAAGCCCACGTGTGCTTACATTAAGACTGGCCAATAATGTGGCGCGAATCCTAATACAAATGGCAGTGACTCCTTGCATCGTGCATTGCTATAATGCAAAAGAAATGCACTATGCAAAGAAAGCTACAGAACTGGCGGGAAAAGCTCCTGCACGCGGGTTCTCTGTTGCAACAGAACACTCCACCGTGCAAAAGAGCTGCAATTTTGGCGGGAACGTGATTTAGCGATGCCGAAGCACACTCAAATAAAAAAACCCCACAACTTTGGGTTGTGACAAATGCAAAACCTTTTATTCAGTGTGGAATAAAAAATGAAATTCTAAAAATCTATTGCCAGCTGATTTCTGAACATAAATGTGGGGTTTTTTGCTGGCATTCACTTTGTGTCCTGACCAGGGTAATTCAGGTAAGTGTTAATATACCTCATGTAACAATTGTCTTTAGACAATTGAAATAGATGAGGTATATCTGGCTGTCATAGTTGAGCCAAATATTTACCCAGCTCTGCTTAAGGTTAGGTAGCCAACAAGAAGTATATGGAGAGTTGAATTTGCCTTGAAAGTGTTACTTAATCACACTGCAACTTGGTGACCTGCTGCCACCACCAAACTGACGATTTTTACCTACTATACCCTTAGGTTTGAAGAACTGTGAATACTTGTCCTTGTGATCCCAAATGTCTCCTTTGTCTGTTTTGTGAATAAAAACTGTTGTTGGATAAAATACACAATCTGTTTGTCTGAGCTAACAGCTTGTTTTTCACTGCATCATCTTATCTTGTAGAGCGAGGATATCAGACTTGAACCAGAGCTGTATGAGGCTTGTAAGAATGACATCAAGAACTACTGCCAGAATGTGCCTTATGGCAATGCTCAGGTAATGGGTCTCTTAATTATTTGTTTCCACTTTTTATTCCAAACCTTTTTTTTTAAGAATGTCTACATCTCAATCATGTATAGCATTAGACTTATATTTTAGGGTATCTTTCAATTCCATTTTTATCATTTTGGAGCATTTCATTAGTCAGTTCTTTCCAAATAAGGTCAGGGTTCAGTTTGTCAGTTGTTTTATCTCTCTATACCATCGCAAAGTTATAATGACCATGTAAGTAAAAAATAAGTAGGATAATGTCGTTGCCATCTTCATTTAGCTTAAACTGATAGGAGCATTTAGTAAGCCTTAGTGCTGATTACCAGCAACTTAATTTATGTTTGACTTTTTAGATAAATTCCAGACTCTGCCTAGAACTTGCAAAGTGCACAGATACTTGAAAACGAGCCGGCAGGGGGAACACCGGAAACATGTTTCCTTCCAAAAATATGTGGGAGGATCATCAGTGTGTCTGTTTCAATTGCTGTAATGCTCTTGTTGCAGATTATTGAATGTTTGAAAGAAATTAAGAAGCAGCTGAGCACCCGATGTCACCAAAAAGTGTTTAAACTGCAGGAGACAGAAATGATGGATCCTGAGTTGGACTATACACTTATGAGGGTCTGCAAACAGATGATCAAGGTAATGTTGCCATATTAACTGATGGGATGGAGTTGAGTTCACAGGGAAAATTTAATTTTTCTAGAACTCGGGATATCTATTCTGGAGACATGAAGGAAGAGGACTCAGATTTAAAAAGTCAATCATTCTCTGCACCAGTGACCTAAAGCTCTTGTGTTTTCCATACCAGCTTTCTTTCAGGAAAAAAGCTTCACTGAATTGGGTAGAATCCTAAGAGTTTGTGGTCCCTCCCACATTTTAGTTTAGCTGTTTGGTTTTAGCTTGACACTAGCTGGAACCTGGATCCCCAGTACAAATTCATTGATGCCACAAATCTATGTAACAGATCCTGGGCTGCCATTAGCCATGTAAAAAAGAACCATCTGTCTGTGTGGTTTCCAGCAACTCCCCCCATGGTCAGAAGGCCCATTGACATCAAAGGTCTGTACTTGGGAACACTTCCCCCAGATCATCACGAGTAGTTTTTAATAGTAGCGAAGACCAAAGAATCCCTTTTCTGATGCAGTGTCAGTGCAACCAGTGTCCCAATCCTCTGAGGATGCATGGTGTTTGGATTAACTTATTAAAAAGAGGGGGAAGCACCCTAAAGATTTCCCAGACAGTGTCTGACTCTCATAATCCCTGTAATATTGTACCAAGTGAACCTGATGAGGCTATTTTTGCCAGTCAACAAGGCCATAATGGACTTAGCGTAAGCATTTTTGGCTAACCCCACTGCGAAATGGGCGGAAAAGAAAAACAGTGTGCTATGTAGGCACATCAACTATTTTTACTCTTAACTAACCTATTCTCCCTGGTTATCATAGCCATGAATAAAAAATTTGGGTTAATAGGAAGACGGAGTGTGGAACAGTTTGGCAAGATTGCATACTCAGTAGGCCTGTGTGAAATGGAAAGTATTTGTTTTGGATTCGGCGATTCAGAAGGATAGTGATTCGATTTGGTGATTTTGAATCACTGTCCTGATTCGATTTGGCTGAATCTGAAGATATTTGGCGACGAATCTTATTCGGTCATAGACTGTACAGGCAGGCAGTGCCGGTGAGTGCAGCTGGGGGAGTAGCCAGATAGGCCCCAGCTTCAGCTGGCAGCCCCGGGAGAAGCTGCGGATCATCCAGCTACCCCCTTGCCGGAGTGAGGCAGGCAGTGCTGGCAGCCCCAGGAGAAGCCGTGGGGGCTGGGGGAATCTATCGGGGAGCTGGGGGGATCGATCCAGCTCCTGGTTCACTCCCCCAGCCTCCAGGCTTCTCCAGGGGCTGCCAGCACTTCCTGCCTCACCCCAGCAGGGGGCAGCCAAGGGAGCAGCCAGATGAGCTGCAGCTTCTCTCTGGGCTGCTGGCTCAAGCTGGGGCTCATCGGGCTGCTCCCCCAGCTGCTCTTGCCAGCACTGCCTAGTGCCTGCCTGTACAGTCTATGGCCAGATCTCTGAATCTATCTGAATCAATTCAGAGGCTTCTGATTTGGTTTGGGGAGATCAGTGGGTCTCCCGATTTTTATTCGAATATTGGCTGCCAAATCTCCTCCGAATTGAATTGGCTACCGAAGCTTTGCACAGCCCTAATACTCGACAGCTAGTCTGCATTTTTGAATAGCTAGTTGCCAGGCCTGTTTAGCCCACTACAATTTTCAGGTGTCTAAAAATCTGATGGACCTTTTGTACTCTGTTACCCAGGACAGAAGGGAAGATTGATTTCCTTAGTCTTAGAAGGACAACTTGTAGCTGAGACAACTCTACAGGCTGCTTTCAATGAAGTCAACTCTGCTGTCAGGTCCCTGACATCAGTTGTAGTCATGTCCTTGCCGTCCTTGCCACACAAGTCAGGCTTTCCCAGGGAGAGTGAAGCTTAAGTGGCTTCCCACATAAGGGCACAGAGCCCTTTAGCTCCAGAATTGTAATACCCTGCATACACCACAAGATTAAAAGGCTGTTCCCTGATCCTTAGGGGTACTTTTCCCTTTGTACAAACACAGGTTTAAATACCAACCCTACAGAGCAATGAAGTTGAGACACCCACTACCCACCTCTGTTCCACCAGTGCAACCTGCACTTAAAACTAGGCAGCTCCTCAGAAACAGATTATTTTAGAAGCATCCTGCTGCACTGTATATTGCCCCTGCTTCTAAACAGGGGAACTGATGGAGGTTGTAGCAAATGATATTCCATTTGGTTCCACTCACTGCCTATGCCAGGGGTGGGCAAAATGCGGCCTGCAGGCTGGATGTGGCCTGCCAGGACATTCCATCCGGCCCACAGGGCCCCTACAAAATTGAGAAAATTAATATTAATCTGCCTCTGGCTGCCTGTCATGCGGCCCTTGATGGCTTGCCAAAACTCAGTAAGCGGCCCCCCACCCAAAATAATTGCCTGCCCCTGGTCTATGCCTCCCCTCAGCCTCCCTTTTTCCCCCTTGTCAGAGACCCACTCATGAGGGTCTGCTTTCAGGGAGACCCAAGGACTATCCCCTTAGTATTCCTTTGTAGGAGAGCTTGCCTTCAGGGTGTCCATAAAGCTCTCCAGCCAGGGATCTGGAGCGCTATATGGCCTCAACCCAGATCTGTTTTCCTAGCGCTGAGAATTTGCCAGTAATTCTTCGTGCTAGAACTGAATGTCTTGCCATAGCCTTATTGTGTACTGAGCACTGCATTAGAAGTCTCTCAACTTTCCTCTACCCAACAGCTGTTATGCAGGACAGTGGTTTGCTTGTACAGTCACCAGCATCTGTTTGTTCCTGTATTTGGACTCAGCGGGGACAGAAGCAGGAGCTGGAGATGAGACCCAAATAGAACTAATAGGAGTTTTGCATCATAATGCACAGTAACTCTAGTGAACGGAAAATAAAGATACCCTGGATAGCCAGATGTCTTGTTAACACAGAGTTTGCAACCCACAACTGCAGGTAGTAGCAGCTGCCCAGCTCATGCTTTCCAAAACTAGATATTTACTTTCCTTCTCCTCTGCCAATTTAGAGAGAATATAAGAAAATGGCTGTTACTGGAGGAGTGGAAGAATCAAGCATGGTTCCTTTGGGTTGGGTTGGAGATTTAGTTTCTATATGAATGTTTGAAATTGTGAGGGCTAATTAGTGATAAAAATTGAATTCTCCTTTTGCAGAGGTTCTGCCCAGAGGCAGACTCAAAGAACATGCTTCAGTGTTTGAAACAGAATAAGAACAGCGAGGTGATGGACCCCAAATGCAAACAAATGATTACCAAGCGGCAGATTACACAGAATACAGGTACTATACCTTTTTACTTTTTACCTTGAAAGCATCTAATTATGTGTTTGTCTGAGAAGTGAGCAGCAGAATCCAACTGCAAATTAATTTCCTTCATGTAATGGTGCTTTGCTCCACATGAAGAAGTAGTAGTTTAGTTTTGTCCACTGTAGTTGGATGTTGCATAATTATTGGGTCCATTTACTCCTGAGATTTTTATGGTGTGGTCAGTGTTTTCACTGGAAAACAGGAAAACCTTAGCTCTGTGGTGTACAGCATGTCATAAATCTTTATTAAACCATGTCATTAAAAGAATAGACTTGAAAAACTGCAAATCCTGCATCCTTCCTTAATCATCGCATCCATCTGCGTAGGTAGTCCAGTTCTCTGTTTGTGAACATCCCAAGGGCTTGCATCTGGTCAGAACAAATACCACTCATGGTAGCCCTCCATTTAAAAAAAAAAAAAAAAAAAAAAATGTATTTTGTAGGTGGGTCTTCAAAAGGTTTTGGGTTGTGGAGGCCTGACTTAATACTTTCTAATGGAACTCTTGTAGGATCATCATTCAGAACATTCAGAGTATACTACAAATCCAGTTTGCTGTTTGTTAATATATTTGTGATGGTGCCTGTTTATGAATTCTAATGCATCCTTTCACAGATTACCGCTTAAATCCAGTGCTCAGGAAGGCTTGTAAAGCAGACATTCCCAAATTTTGCCAAAATATCCTAAGTAAAGCAAAGGATGATACAGAATTGGAGGGGCAAGTTATCTCATGCCTGAAGTTGAAATATGCAGACCAGGTAAGTTCTATGTAAACATGAGCTGCACAAATATGTGCCTAGCAACACTGACTGATTGTCCATCCTAGTATCTTAGACTTTGACTCCCAGCTTGAATGCTTGTAAACCTTTACGCTATGTACAAAAGAACTCTTGCCGTCTCCCCATCTAAGCTTAACTACCTGTAGACCAGGTGTGTGACATCAAGATGGTGTGCAGTGGGATCTGCCTCTCAGGCTGATGTTGCATTACTCATCTCCCTGTGGAACCAGAATGTAGAGCACCATTACTTAAAATCTTTACTGCAGAACCAGCAGATTAAAGACATTTAACTATGCTCTTAAATTACCGAAACAGTTTACTTTTTAAAATATATATATATGATTTTATTTAGTGGTGTGATGGCTGTTTTCCTTTATTCAATAGCGTCTGTCTCCAGACTGCGAGGATCAGATCCGGGTGATAATCCAGGAATCAGCTCTTGATTACCGGCTAGATCCCCAGCTTCAGATGCACTGTTCTGAAGAGGTAGGAGACATGATACCTAAACTCCCTAGTTTAGAAGAAAGTTCTCCTCAGCAGATCTAACTTTAGAAGTCTTTGTGAAATGAGCTGCATGTCTCTCTTTATAAAGAAACTCTCTTGATAAAGCAATTTAACTGTTCATAGTTCAAGATGCTCCATCTGGAACTTGTTATGAAACAGGTTTATGGTTTGTGCTCAACAACCAAGAATTAGTCTTATGCTCATACACCATTACAATGTCAAGCTTTGCCTCTTGATTTCTCATTGCCACTGATTTGCTGTAGCAGAGAAAATTGTCATCAGTATTTATGAAAAGCAGATAAGTTATTGTAGTGTTGAGTTTCACATCTGTTGCAAGTGAAATAGTCATAAAAGTCCTTCTTTATAATAGCATCATATTTACTCATTTCCTGCACATCCCCAAATAAGGTATTTCCCTTGTTTTGGGAGGTCAAAAGGAGGTAAAAATTTTATTTTTTTTCCAGAATCTGACCTGCCACAACCTGAGCTCACCATGGCTGAATATTGGCTGCATTAAGTACAGTCCAGTGTCACTCCCCTTTTCACTGCAGCTCCACAGCTAGAGGTTCAGTTCCCTTACAGCTGCTGCCAAATTGGTTGACTCCCTCAATTTGGCAGCAGGTAGAAGAGTTAAATGTGGAGCTGTGGAGCTGCAGTGAAAGGGGTGAGTGACACTGGGAAATGGACTGACCCCTGTTCCATGCTGCACAGAACCAATCCCTGTCAGCCATTTCAGCACCCCCATGTCTCTGTTCTGGTGCAGAAATCAGATACCTCACTTTAGATCAACAGAGGCTTGCTGATACAAAATCCATGCTGAACACAGTGGCTGGCAGAGGAGTACGCAAGGATCTTGTTAGGAAGAGAAGTCTCATGTTTTTGGAGATGGTAAATATCTCACTTGAAAAGGTCTGAGGTGGTTGGCTAGGACTGTAGTAG